TGGAGGATTTGTCTTGATGAGTGGAGCCACAAGTTGCTAACTAGAGGAGTTTTACAGTTAGACTAAAGAACAAGAGTCTCAGGCCAATGGTGAACACTTACAATAACTTTTATTAAACATTAATAAAACTATTAATGACAGACAAAACCTCGTTTATAACGAACAACATAAAATAGCTTTTAACTCAACTAAATACCGTAGTATTTTCAGCGTACACTTTCATTAAAGACACTTAGATATACTTCAACATAATATCTCAGTATACACTTCCATTAAAGCACTTAGATATATTTCAACATATCCTTTAACATAACATTTCACAAAACACTAGTATTAACTGACTGAGAGAGAATAGTGAAGTATACTTACAATGGTGTTGGAAATCGAATAACATTGGACACCTTCATGTTGCCAAGTCAACCTGCAGCACTTCAGAGGGATTTTCTGGAGAGCTCGGAGAACTGTAGAGAACTCTTGGGAGAGCTGACTTTTCAGTCTCTGACATGGGTTTATTAAGCAAATTTCTCTGTATTATTTCAAGCATCTAAATAGGACACAACATCACCCACAAGTAGTCCTGTGCTCCTATTGGATGCTTCAGGGGAATCCCCGGGCTGAACCAAAACCATAATAAAAATTCTCAAGTAATTGGTTACAGCTCAGTTGTGTTAGCCAGTCACCTATTTACTTGTACTGCTACACCCATGTGCTGTAAGTGATATTGCCTTAAAGCACTGATATCACCTGCTAAACCAAACTTTTCTGTAGCTTTCCTAGTTCTACAGGGTTGAGGTTAACCACTCGTCAACCTGTCATAAGTTCTAGTACACTCAGCAACGCTTCTTACATTGCTTAACCTTGTTTTTCTAGTTCATCCATGTGTCTTAGTGGCTTACAAAAATTACGACTACTAATCTAACTTTATTCTTAAACTTTCTAAGTTAATAAAAACTCTTAAAAACGTAGAAGCAATTGTAAATTCCCCCCAAAATAACCCAATTGCTTCACTAACATTCTCATCAATTCCCTTAACAATCATAAACACCTCAATCAGATCCCCTTTTTAACTCTTCTTTTTTCAAGAGAAAACAAAATTTCAGGTATCTTGACCTCTCATTCAATGACAACCCCTTTATCCAAGGCACCATTCTAATAGCCCTCCTCTGAATCCTTTCCAAAAATTCAATGCCCTTCCTAAGGTAAAGAGCCTGAACACAATACTCCAAATGTGACCTAACCAATGACACATACAATAAAATTATAACCTCTCTAGACTTGTATTCAATGTTTCTGTGGATACAACCTAAAATCCTATTTGCCTTACCATAGCAACAGCACACTGCTTAGATGGCTTAAGAGACTGATCAACCACTACACCAAGATCTATTTCTTAGATAAAACATTATACTTATAATTCAAATTATGATAACACACATGCATTATCTTGCATTTATTATAATTAAAATCTGCTTGCCATTTATTCACCCAACTCACTAAATGATCTAAATTCTTCTGTAAAGCAGCAGCAGCATCCTCACAGCCAGCAACACAGAAGATCTTAATATCGTGAACAAATTT